TCTTGCTGTTCTGTTTCTGAAGAACTTGTGGGTAATTCTAGAAGAATAAATCGATTTAGTAAATTTTGTTGACGTTGCTTTGCATTTCAGATTAGCGTTTGAGAGCAAGGCGACTGGTGTAAGGCTCTCAGCAGGGGCTGTGTCCTCTGCACATTGGTGTTACAGGCTGTGAGGCTCCAGGCAGCAGAATTGGGTCCATTTGCATCCAGTCCCTTCTGATGCCAGACTGAAGACCAGAATTTCGTAATTCATTGTTAGAGCAGTTACTTAAAGGAAGGTTGACATAATAAAATGAAAATTTTCCCATACGCTTACCTTGAAGTAGAGCATCTGGCGTGTCGATTTTACGGGAAGGGTGCTGGAATATAACTAATAAGATTTGTATGAGAAGCAACAAGCAGAAGTTGCTGCAATTTTTTATCTATCTAGGTGATAATTTGCAATTTATGTTATTTGTGCTGTTCATAAACTGGATTTTTATAGTGTTTATTCCAAGAAGGAAAGGAAGAAAGAAACAAAAAACAAACAAAATGTTGTTGCTTTCTAAATACTTGTTTAAATAAATTGTCACTTGTTTCAGTGACCAGCAAAATGCAAGACGAGCCACATATGCTTCAGAACTTAAAATTACGTAAAGAAACACGCGCACAGACTCTGTACTTTCACTTGTGTTTATGGATAAACAGAATACAGAAGGCATTAATTACTTTGAAAATGTTTGCTAGTCATGTGTTTCTGTGGTTAAAATTACCATAAAGTTCTTTTTCTGCGACCTGAATACCTGGCTATTTCATCGACGGCACTTGAGCACAGAAACATTCATATGACTGTCTTTCCTGGAAGCAGTATGCAGGTTTTGTGTAACAAGATGATGTTTGTTGGTTATGGAAATGTTTGGGTTTAGAAGCTACTTAACCATCCGTCTCTGTCTTCAAAATGGCTTTTATAGCCCTACTGCCTAATAGCTAGCTTTGTAGTATGCAGGTTTCCAAGACACTGTTTGAATGCCACCTGACACAAAACAAAGGTTAATTATGTTTGAAGAATAGCTGTGTTTTCCTGTGTGTAAGCCAGAGTGCACAGAGACAAATGACATTATTTGCAAAAAAGTTTGTAGATCCTGTCAGAGTTTTGGAGAAACCGTTTTGGTTGGTTTCTACCAGAAAACAATGTTATGTTATGCAAAATCTAGATAGGACTGATTGCTCCCTTGTAGTGGGATTTATATGAAGATCCTGATTACCGCGTGGTTCCAGAAGGGCGTGGAGTTCAGATGAGGATCTGCCAGAACAGGATGAAGACCTAACTGAGGAAAGGAAAAGTACATCAATAGCATTATACCAGAGAGTGTAGGAAAGAAAGCTTTCTATTCTGAGTGGGACTGGGAAAAGGGATAAACTTACTAAACCTTAAATGCAGTCAACTGGTGATGTGCTATTCCTGTCATCTCTACAAATTCACCTGTTAACAGATTCCACCTTCATTTTACCTGTTGTGCTCCTCAACCTATGTAGGTGGCTAAACATCGATAAATGCTTTCATTTGCAGTGGAACTTTTGTTTCACTCTAACACCTGATATTACACTACTAATAAGAGATTTTCAGCCTGTAAATGTTAAGTGTTTTCCTCTCGGATGTTGTTTAAAATTCTTGGAAATGGGTTTCTGAAGTGTTTCCTTTAATAGCTCCGAGGAGTCTGAGCTGATTAATTTTTTTGTGAGTTACTCATGGCTATCCCTTGCCGTTCTCTTCAGGTTAGAGGCCTTCGTGTTTCCTCTTTGACAACATAAATACAACAGACTGCCGCGTAGCTGGAGAAACGAGAATGGTCTCAGTTCACTCCAAGAGGCACGCTGGAGATGTTGTAGCCTCTTCGGGAAGAATAAAATTAGTTCACATCTCTTAAGTGCACGTGCTGAGGTTTTGATTACTGACTTCTTGAAGATATTGTAAGAAAGGGAATAAATACCTGCTTTCTGCTTCTTAGTTGTCTAATAACCTCTTTTCAGTATTGCTATTACTATACGGAGTGAAGAGACTTCGCTCAGAGCTGCTTGATAAAATACCTTGGTACATTTTTTCCCTGGAGCAGGTTCACTGCGGTGCCAGCAATATCAGCTAAAGGCCAGTTTACCTCTCTTAAAATATGCACCATCTTCTTCCTTTTTTAGACGTGTAAATGTGAATACTTTCTGGCTACGGCAAATCACTGTGGAATGAAAATACTGAGAGAGCAAGGTAATGGGCAGGGAAGGACGCCGGGACTTGCTCGTGTGCTTCGCCCTCAGACTGCTCTGCAGGCAGCGCTTGCTTCTTATTTTCCACGTGTTTGACAGGCAAGGTGTGCTGGGGCAAATGAAGACAGTCAACTGCTTCAGCGCTTAGGAAATCAGAAATAAGAATGAATCTACTAAAATAGCCGTGATCAAAGAGGGTGCTTGTGTTGTGGTTTTGTTTAACAAGAATACAGTAGGGAACTTTGCCAAAAGGGAGTCAGGTGAGCTCTTTCCATACTGTATTGGGTAGAACAGCTCACTGGTGCAGATTACAAGTTTGATTTCATTGCTAACACATTAAGAGGTGATCAGAAATTCAGTTGTCCGCCTCTTTGTAGTTATCTCTGTTATCATAGACTGTGTGGTCAGATTCTTCCCTTCAAATTCAGCTATTTACAATGTACATTCTGTTTGGGAATTGTCTGTCTAGACTCTCCTTTTGGTTAAAGGAGAGAAGTGGCTGCTCCTGGAGCATGGTCTGTCTCGTTCCAGCGTACCTTGGGGCTAAACAGGCGGGATAAATTGGACTCAAGTAGTTGCTATTTCTCTCCATTGACTTAAAGAGAATATGGAGAAGCAGTTCACTTAAGGTTGTAGAATCACAGAATCATTAAGGTTGGAAAAAACCTCTAAGATCATCAAATCCAACCGTCAACCCAACACCACCGTGCCCTCTAAACCATGGTGGTCACAGAGAGCCTCATCTACATGTTTTTTGAACACTTCCAGTGATGGTGACTCTACCACTTCCCTGGACAGCCTAGAAGTCTAATGATAAGGAGACCACTCTGATCCTCAGTGTTTACGATCACATCAGTGTAGTTCTGAAAGCATATAGTTCTGTCAGAAAACCATCATTGGGCGTTATTGTGAAGGTGCAGGCTGATATATGTTAGGTTGATATATGATATAGGCTGATGTAGTCTTGAAAATCCCTTGAGAAAACTGCATTGTCTGTCACCTGCATGGTTAAAAAAAAGCGTGCGTGTACACACATATATAAAAATACATATTAATTTTCACTTACTAAAACTGTAATTTTAAAAAAAAAGTAAAGCAGTGCCAGAATGTTGGCTTTCCTATTCATAAGTTACAAGATGCTCTTTTTCATTACCTGTAAGAAATGTCATACTGTTAACTGATAGAGAGAACAGACACCAATTTGAAAAAAATACATTTTTAATGCAAATGTATTAAGACAGTATCTGTTCAGGTGGCAGGTTTTGAAAGCACTGGAGTATAAAAATATATTTTAACTAATTATTTAGATAAATGTAAATTCTCCCGGAAGAACTGTGGTTCAGAGGGGCTTTTCCATGTTACAGAATGGAACCGTGAGGCTGTGCACTGGCTGAAATTATACAGATACATCATGCTTTGATGCGTGTTCAGTTTTTCCCCTTTAAAAAGCTATTTTATTGAAGTTAAATTATTGTAGGGATATGAAAAGGTGTAGTTTGCTCTGAATTTATCCTTGGAGGGCCAGCAGATCATTGCTTTTTCTCTGAAATTAGATAGAAGGATCCAGATGGCAGATTTCAAGCCCATCAGGTGTTTAAAATATGTCCCTCAGCTAAAAGGAAGTATTACAGTTAAATCTGTCACAGCCTTTTTATTGCTCTGTGGTACACTTGACGACTGCAGCCGTGAAAGAGGGAAGCTACAAGTAGCCCAGTCAGCCTGAAGTGGAGTAGGTCAGTGGTTGGTTTCTTTGGCTGCCGCAGGGGGCTTGATAGACGTACAGACCTGGTTTATGGAATCATTAAATCCATCATGGTATAAGCTCCCATGGAGGCAATGAATTTGTTCCCATAGTTTCTTCTAGATACTATGGTAGGCATTAGGGAAGTAATATAAGTGAAACGTGGAGGGGAGAAAAAAGGACACCTTCCCCCCGCCCAAGAAAACAATCCCACATCTCTAAGGAGTCCTCAGTAATAATAATAGTAATAATAAAGTACATCTGGGCTGGTGCCTTGCACTGCATTTCTCAGCTGGCACTCATTCAGAACTGTCACATTAGGCTGAGCGCTGATAATTCATATCCCAGAATCCTTTTATCTGAACAGAACAACCTCTCCGCTGTGTACTTTTGGCAAAGGAGACGCATTGCTTTTTAAATATCTTTAAAACGTAATACAGGCTTTTCTTTGCATCTTGACAAACTGCTGCTAATCATGAAGAAAGCGTAAACTTGTTTGTGCTCTTGTAGTAACTAGAAGTACTTGCAGTCAAATCAGCTTTCTGCACAGGTGTGATTACTGCCTGATTCAGAGAAGAGGATATATTTGGGTTGTTTATTTGCATGCATATGTAGATGTTTATATAGACAATGATTTGGGGAGGCTGATACAGTTTTGGCTTCTTCGGTTTTTCTTGCTTCTTTCTCCAATTAAAAAAAAAAAACAACCCAATGAAACAAAGCAGACACTCTCTTTGTTTATTCAACAAACCATAGGGAA